AAGGAAGAACCGCTCCTCCCAGCCGTCCGGATTCCCGGCGTTGTTTGAAAACAGGACCATGGACGGACGCGCGATCAGGGTTAAGTACCCCGTACGTCCGAAGGGAGATAGCCGGAAGAAGTGTTGCAGCAGGTCCACGGTGGGGGTCACGTCAACGCTGTGACATCTAATTATAAAACCCGCGATGATCCTATAAGCAGCGGGGACGAACTGAGCGGGTGTCACCCGGAGGCCCCTAAAAAGCTCTATGTGGAAGCTATGGAGGGGAAACAGGAGGCCGGCTATGACAGAGTCCAAGTGGACCACCACGTAGCCGGGCAAATGGCGCATGGGATTGCGCAGAATCCGATCGTCGTAACCCCTCGGGGGAAGGAACCATTGGCTTATCAACCGACGGTCGGCGTTCAAGAGACGCTGGCGCTGACGACGAACGCAGGAGAAATTCAGGTGATGACGGGGGGGCCATGGTGGCATACCCCGCTCATAGAACTCTAGGTCACCACCAGAGGAGCACCCATCGTCGAACCTATCAATAGTTTGGGACCCTGATATGGACGAAGACATGACGACGTTCGGTACCTACGGGTGCCGGAGTCGGAGGCGATACCAAAGAAAGCTAGAGAGAGGAAGTGATTGTGCAGCACAAGAGCTAGAGGTGGAGCAAATGGAGGGTTCGCAAGGACTTGGGTACTTATAGGCAACACCGCGGAGTTGTGCCAGTCACGGTGGAACACGTGGCACCCGGATACCGGTACCAACCGCGGTATTAAAGGCTCCTCGATGTTAGCACCTCACGGTCACTGCGAGGGAATCCGGTTTGATGCCACGAACGTCCCCCGAAGGGGGCAAACAGAGAACATACATACGGGCCATGATTACGCACGTAGACATGAGCACCCCGTGATCCACGTCAGACGCACGTCCGGGAAGGATATCTGGCTTAGGCGCAGGCGTAAAAGGTCACGCTATTCCGGAAGCGGCGAACTCCTCCATCAAGGCATTGTTCGGGGAGGCGCATTCATATCTCCACACCTGGTCGAACAGACGAACGTCACCCTGCCAAATCTAAGTTGGGCGCACACTACTCGGATGGTTACGCCAGTAGCCACGGGAGGAGCGTCTCCGCCAACTCTGATCCGGGAGATTACGGCCATAATCCGTACGTATGGGGGAGCGGTTACATAGGTGGTGCTCCCAAGTACACGTTCATATCCCGAAAGAATACGGTTGCATCCCCGCACATCTTCCTTCCGACGAACGGCATCGGGGATGGTCCACATGGGTGGTGCTCTCAGGCACACGTTCGTATCCCGAAAGGTCGGGATGCATTGGCGAGTTGAGGGAATGAACGTCCCCAAGGAAAACAGAAAACAACCGACGAAGAGAGGAAATAAAAAGAGTTCATAAACGTAGAGACAATGATAAGGCAAGAAAGAGTCGTATATTCTTCGGCTCTACTGGCCGGGTAAATACAGAATCAAAACAAGTAAACTACGAGCTACATTACACAAAATTTGGAGAAATAGGCCGGGATCCCCCAGGGATGGTTTCTTCCTCCTCCTCGGGCTCTGGCTCGGGGGACGGGGGCTCTGGGACCTCCCCCCTGGCTCTGGCCTCCTCCCGCCGGGCGTCCCGTTTCAGCTTGCCCATGGCCCGGATCAGCTCTGGGTCGGAAGTATGCTCGGCCAGATCAAATCGGGGGCCCTGAAGAGCGGCAAAGACCGGCAGTGTGGCTTTCACCCCCTCGTTGTAGCCAATGACGAAGGAGCTATCACCAACATCGTATAAGAACTTCTCGGCCAGGGGCGCACTCTCCAGAACCCGGACCCCAAACTTGAGCCGATCCTTCGGCGCCTGCTTCTGCAGCTCGGCGGCGAATACATCGCCGAAGGCACCGCCGAGATACCTCTGGGCGGCGATCTTGAATGCCCCAGAATTATGGTACCCGGTGTCATCGACGAGCCACTCAGGGGCCTCGTCCTTGGGAGCGGGGAGAGCCGGGACGAGCTTGAACCCGGCCTCCTCAAGAACCGCGAGCTTCGCGGAGGACTCACGGGCTACCTTCAGGGCGGCCTGCAGTTCTTTGTCTTTGGCCGCCAGCTCTTTCTCCTGAAGACGAGCGGCCTCTCTCGCCTTCTTCAGAGCAGCATCTGCCTTATTCCTCGCCTGGAGGACCTCGGCGTCTCGGGCAGCCTCGGATTGCAGAACGGAGAGCCCCACCTACCAATCAGATGCGGGGGGTGAGACTTCAAAACATTAGAATGAAATGATCAGGCAGCACGTGCGGAGCGAGATCTTACCTGAAGGGCGGCAGCCAGGGCCGCATTAGAAGCCTCCGAAGACGTGCGGGGAGGCATCTCCACGCCGGCCAGAGAGGCAACCTCCTGCCAAACGTCATGCGCCGGACGTCCGAGAGAGGGGAGGATCACCCCTTGCCCTTCAGGGGCCGAAGAACCGGTTCCCCTGGGCCGTTTGGACTTCTTGTCCGCCTTCTCCCCCTCCTGAGGATGGACGGCTTGCAGAGGCACCACGACCTCGGGGACGCCAGAGTCAAGGACTGGGGCCTGGGACCCCTGTGCCATCACCGTGGCAATGAGGTGCTGCTCCGCCTCCACGGTGCGACGATCGGCCTGGGAGGCGGAAGAATTGGAGTCAGCTGCCTGGACGGCTTTGGCTTTTGCAAGGGCAGCATCGACGGCAGCACCTTTACCTTTCCTCGTCCTGAGGAGCTTTTCGTGATTCATCTGCTCCGGGGTTGGGGGAAGACCTGAAAGAGACAAGGGAAATGGGTTAGATGGACGAGCGTCAGAAAAAACTCACCTCGGAGGAGAGGACCGCCCAATACCCCGAGACGAGCGTAGAAGGGGAGACGTCCAAGAGCATGGGCGGTACCTATTCCTGCCGCGGCAAGTGCCTCAAAGGTTAGGAAATCGTCTAAGGGCCGGACGCCGCCCGTCGAGATCTTTTTGATGTCCTCCTGCAGGTCGTTGGTCAGTTCCGGAGATCCTATCTTGGGCGGATAGCCGTTCCAACGCAATGGCAGACGAGCATCCGCGTACCGCACGAAGAAGAACCGGTTCTTCCAATCATGGATGGAACTCGGTGCTCCGCTGAACAGCCTCCGTTTTGGACGGGCTGCAATGCTCAGGAAACCATCAGAGTTTTGGGGGGTGAGCCGGTAGAAGTAATGGAACAAGTCCAAAGTGGCGGTGACCCCACTGTCCCTGCAGCGGACTAGGAAGGCGGAGACGAACCGATAGGAGTTCGGCATGAGTTGTGCGGGGGCTATCTGGTAACAACAGAAGAATTCCACGAAGAACGGATGGAGAGGGAAGCGCAGCCCAGCCTCGATGGAGTCCAGAAGCACCATCACCATCCCTGGACGTCTCCTCATCACGTGGGATGCACCACGCAGGCTGTATACGGACGGAGGGGGGAAGAACACCTTCAATTTGTTGAGGGCCACCTGCGAGAAGATCTGCTCATGGCACAGGACATTCTTGATCGGGCACAGATGCCTCTCCACATCTATCTTCAGCCCAAGTTCGAATATTTCAATGTCGGAGCCGTCCTGAGCCTCAACCCCAGAGTCATACCCATCTGGACGCTCGTCCTCACCAGCGGACTCCCGTTCCCCGGCATCAGCCACGGGGTCCACTACATCGAGGGCCATACTCCCTTGTCCTCCCAGGTCAGCACCTTCCTCACCAGGAACCATCACAGTAACCACATCTTGAGCCTCCCCGGCCTGAACCGTTTCCACGGTAGAGGCTGAGCCAGAACTCCCGGAAGTGCTAGTTTCACCCGAAGAGCGTGAACCGGAATCAGAGGAGGAACCCGAGGAAGAACCCGATGAACCCGAACCAGAACTCGACGAGATCTCCATCGAAACCATCTCGGCAAGAATTCAAGACAAAGAAAAGAAGCAGGGGATGGAAATTACCTTAGGAAGGGGTTAGCCGAGCTTGAAAACAGGAGAAGACTTGAAGAGCTGCAGGAACGCGAGAGCAGGAGAGCAGAAATTGGGAACCCTAATTTAGAGGGAGAACCCGGCATTTATAGGAGAGACACCGGCGGGGGAACCAACGGGGGACGGACACGTGGCAAGGAGCGTATTCCGGCTCACGCGCTGTGCGTGGGACGGAAGCGTAATGATGGCATTTCCTCGGAAAATGCACCGCCGCTACAGCAGCCGTCACCTCGTTTCCTGAACCATCGGCAGCTGTTAAGCACCATGACCACGAGCGTACGCTTCCGCCGGATGCAATAAGACACAAGGATCGAGACACGGACGTCCATTTCGGGGCACCTATACTTCCTTATGTCCTGCGCATGCTCAGAACATCAGAAGTGGGGGACTTGTGTTGGGATAATGGCCCAGGCCGAGGTCCGGCCCATTAACCCCCTTTTTCTATCGGACGCACGTCTCCTGGGCAGGCCCATGATCGTCGGAAGAGATCCAGTCCACATGGAGAGAATCCACAAGGTCAGGGGACGAACAGCCGAAGTCTCCTGAAGGTCACTTGGAGTGACCCAACTCACCCCTGGCGGACGAACGTCCCCATTATTTAGGCGGGAAACCTAGATTCTGGCGGGAAGTGCATTTAATGCAGAAGATTTGGTGGTTGGGACACAAGCGGTCCGCAGGCCTCCACGTCAGCATAGCCACCTGCCCATTGGCGGGTATAAATAGAAGCATTTATTTCATTGTAAAGGGTTGGCAACTTTCTATTCTTAGCACTAGCTATAGCGTTCTTACTCGCAGCACTTCTACTGCCTTGTGAGACGAACGGCCGACGGAGCCTTAGCGAAAGTATTGTATTAGGGAGTTATTAAGAGATAATAATACCTAATCACTTACTTGCTACCTTATTGTTTCTTGACCCTTATCATCTGCTTGTTGGGCTAGTTATTCGCACGCACTCCGCTCGAAATCTTTAGGCTTACGTGTTGGGCCTGAAGGTTGAAGGAATAAACCTCAACAAGAGTCATCTTAGTACCTCAATTGTAACCATTAGCAACTAACCGTAACCATTGTTGCTGCCCCTTTTGTGATACAAATGACTTTAAGAAATCAGCATCAATTCTGCAATTATTCACAAACATCAATATTGACAAATGCTAATTAAATAAAATCAAAAGATGTGAAAACTAAAGTGGCATTACACTTATTAACTTATAGAGAAAGTATATGTTTCTACATGTAAAATTTATCAATCTAACAGACAGAAATAATAAATATAAAAAATTCAATAAGAAAACTAGACACACACCAATTTAAAATCTAACCTCTGTATCATTGTATGCCTTCTTCATTGAGAAGGTTGTAAGATTCGTCGTTGTGGAGTAAATGGAGACTCCACTTTTCAGATCAGAACAAAAAAACCTAGATAGGAAGGGTGCTGTGAGAACATATTGGAGTAGAACGTAGTCAGAATGGGAAAGGGAGAAAAAAGAAGAAGGTGAAGTCGGCAGCTATGAACGAGGCCAGTCGGAAGGGGGATTTCCATACGGCCCAATGTTTAGATAAGTTGAAATTAACATTGGCAGTACAATTATTGTTGTTATTATAGTTAGAAAATGAAGATTTTCAACTTATATTATGCCCGTAGTCCCGTAGTAGTACAAGTCTATACAATAAGTTTTTTTTTCAAATGTGTATATTAAATACTGTATTGTAACACAAACAAATGGGGTTACACTAGCAACACAAGCAGAAAAAATACATGCAGACAGCGCTTATACACACCAAAGAAACCATAGAGAAAAAAGAGAGTAATCGTCACCTGAAGAACATGGAGAGTCGGACAATCTCAGAAGATCTCAGCGAGGGGATAGCTATCCGGACCGATCTAAGGCGACAGGGCACTTCGTTCAACCTCCATCCACCACCGTCGCATGCACATGAATTGACCTTCAATTCCATTCCGGGATACGGGCTGAAGAAACAAAGACGCCGGACTCCGGAACCCTCCAGAGCTCTCTAAGCCGGTCTCTCTCTATGCCGCTCTCAGAAGAGTTTTTGGAAGCATTATGTTCTGATATATTCCTGTTGAGTTTAATCCAACACGATATAGTAAATATATGTATAAATGTGTATGAACAAGCTATTTTTACGTGGAAACCCGAAAGGGAGAAAACCACGGGACTTTTTAGGCTAATGTCCAAGCCCTCTCTTTCTCATTAGGACTCTCCTCACCATTACATAGTACAATTTGAGCTCCCATTAATGGAGTATTGTAAGCTAGCTAGAGAGAAGGGAGAAGAATAAGCTAAGGAAAGATCCCATCCATAATATGGAGGCTAAGCTCCCTATTTATAGACAAAGGGGAAAGGGTGCTCTCCACCCTAATGGGCCAAACGGGCCAATATCGGGCCTAATGGGCCGGAATGGGCCTAACTGCTCGGGCTCCGTACTGGGTAATGTCTTGGGCTCCTGAACAGTAATAGGCCGGGATAATATATCCCAACACAAGTCCCCCAGTTTCTTGAGTAGTGAGCTCGCGAATCTGCTCGAGAAAATATACTCTGCCTGCGCTCTTCCTCTGTCTTGCTGGAAACTGTGTCTTCACATAATCATCATATATGAGTGAGTGTCTGCACTCCTGAACGTAATCTACCAGTGAGGCACCCCCCTTCTTGACAGGGTCGGGCGAAGGGTGCTCCTCCACGGGCACACTCCCCCTGAATGCATCAGGCGGGAGTAAAGAACTCTGACTCGAGCTTTCCAATCGGAGAAGCTTAGAGGTCCATCATCTATAAACCGACGTCGCGGTACTGTCAAAACATGATGCACGTGTGTATGTATGAATGTATGAGGTATGATGCATGAATGTATGTATGCATGTAATGTATGTATGTAATGTATGAGAGAGGGAATGCAAGATGTGATAGAAGCAGTAGCTCTCATCGATAACCCGGGCCTGTCAGCGCCGAGAAGCAGACGTGCTGCGTAAGACGGGTCCCCCATCCGAGATGGCATGGGCGGAGCCGAAGGTGGACTAGACATGATGCCGCCGAGGGGCCAATCATGCTGCATACGACGGGTCCCCCATCCGAGACGGCATGGGCGGAGCCGGAGGTGAACTAGACATGATGCCGCCGAGGGGCCAATCGAGCTGTGTAAGAGATGTTCGTCGCCATCCTGGAAGGGATGGGCGAGCCGAACACGAGCCAGACACGATGGCGCTGGGGCGCTGATCGTGCTGCATATGAGACGTTCGTCGCCATCCTGGAGGGGATGCGTGATCCGAACGTGAAAGAGACACGATGGCGCTGAGGGGGCCGATCGTGCTGCATAAGACGGTCGTCGCCATCCTGAAGGGAATGTGCGAGCCGAACCGTGAAGCCAGGTACGATGGCGCTGAGGGGCCGATCGCACTGCATAAGACGTTCGTCGCCATCCTGGAAGAGATACGCGATCCGAACGTGAAAGAGACACGATGGCGCTGAGGGGCCGATCGTGCTGCATATGAGACGTTCGTCGCCATCCTGGAGGGGATGCGTGATCCGAACGTGAAAGAGACACGATGGCGCTGAGGGGCCGATCGTGCTGCATAAGACGGTCGTCGCCATCCTAGAGGGAATGTGCGAGCCGAACCGTGAAGCCAGGTACGATGGCGCTGAGGGGCCGATCGCACTGCATAAGACGTTCGTCGCCATCCTGGAGGGAATGTGCGAGCCGAACCGTGAAGCCAGGTACGATGGCGCTGAGGGGCCGATCGCACTGCATAAGACGTTCGTCGCCATCCTGGAAGAGATGCGCGATCCGAACGTGAAAGAGACACGATGGCGCTGAGGGCCCGATCGTGCTGCATAAGACGGTCGTCGCCATCCTAGAGGGAATGGTCGAGCCGAACCGTGAAGCCAGGTACGATGGCGCTGAGGGGCCGATCGCACTGCATAAGACGTTCGTCGCCATCCTGGAGGGAATGTGCGATCCGAACGTGAAAGAGACACGATGGCGCTGAGGGGCCGATCGGGCTGCATAAGACGGTCGTCGCCATCCTAGAGGGAATGGTCGAGCCGAACCGTGAAGCCAGGTACGATGGCGCTGAGGGGACGATCGCACTGCATAAGACGTTCGTCGCCATCCTGGAAGAGATGCGCGATCCGAACGTGAAAGAGACACGATGGCGCTGAGGGGCCGATCGTGCTGCATAAGACGGTCGTCGCCATCCTAGAGGGAATGGTCGATCCGAACCGTGAAGCCAGGTACGATGGCGCTGAGGGGCCGATCGCACTGCATAAGACGTTCGTCGCCATCCTGGACGAGATGCGCGATCCGAACGTGAAAGAGACACGATGGCGCTGAGGGGCCGATCGTGCTGCATAAGACGGTCGTCGCCATCCTAGAGGGAATGGTCGAGCCGAACCGTGAAGCCAGGTACGATGGCGCTGAGGGGCCGATCGTACTGCAGCAGACGTTCGTCGCCATCCTGGAAGAGATGCGCGATCCGAACGTGAAAGAGACACGATGGCGCTGAGAGGCCGATCGTGCTGCATAAGACGGTCGTCGCCATCCTGGAGGGAATGGTCGAGCCGAACCGTGAAGCCAGGTACGATGGCGCTGAGGGGCCGATCGTGCCGCAGCAGACGTTCGTCGCCATCCTGGAAGAGATGCGCGATCCGAACGTGAAAGAGACACGATGGCGCTGAGAGGCCGATCGTGCTGCATAAGACGGTCGTCGCCATCCTGGAGGGAATGGTCGAGCTGAACGTGAGCTGGGTACGATGGCGCTGAGGGGCCGATCGTACTGCATAAGACGATCGTCGCCATCCTGGAGGGAATGGGCGATCCGAACGTGAGCTGGGTACGATGGCGCTGAGGGGCCGATCGTACTGCATAAGACGGTCGTCGCCATCCTGGAGGGAATGGGCGATCCGAACCGTGAATCAGGACACGATGGCGCTGAGGGGCCGATCGTGATGCATAAGACGTTCGTCGCCATCCTGGAGGGAATGGGCGAGCCGAACCGTGAGTCTGGACACGATGGCGCTGAGGGGCCGATCGTGATGCATAAGACGTCCGTCGCCACCCTGGAAGGGAATGGACGATCCGAACCGTGAATCAGGACACGATGGCGCTGAGGGGCCGATCGTGATGCAGAAAAATAGTGATGATCATCTCATGGCCTTCGGCCTCTCGGTGAGTGGTAATCGTCTCATGGCCCTCGGCCGTGCTGGTGATGTGTCAAGTCTCTCTCCTGATTGGCTGTGAGAAGCTTATCGTCTGCCAGGACTCCATCCGGGAAGGAATGGTGAGCCTGAAATAAATCCGGGCGATGTCCCTCCTACCTGATCTGGGGAGCTAATCGTCGTTTGTCTACCGTATCCGTGGTCCTATGTACGGACCGCTAAGCGGTGTACACTCGGTACGCAACAGACTCCGGTGGAGAACTGGTCCTGCGTGTCTGGTCCATGGAGCTGGTCTTCGTTCGTCTACCGTATCCGTGGTCCTATGTATGGACCGCTAAGCGGTGTACACTCGGCACGCAATCAGATTCCGGTAAAGAACTCGATCTTTGTTCTTCCCAAGTCTCGTGAGTACTGGTCTCCTGGTTTCGCAGGAGACGTTCGTCATCCCAACTATGAGAAGAAACAGGTTTATCCACGTCGGGATTCCCAATTCTTCGTTCGTCCCTGTCGTGGTCCTACTAATCTTCTTACTTCGAAGAAGACGTTCGGTCATCCAACGATTGCAAGGAGGAACAGGTTTATCCACGTCGGGATTCCCTATTCTTCGTTCGTCCCTGTCGTGGTCCAACTAATCTTCTTACTTCGAAGAAGACGTTTGGTCATCCAACGATCGCAAGGAGGAACAGGTTTATCCACGTCGGGATTCCCTGCTTCGTCGTCCCATGCTCGTGGCCCTACTAGCCTTCTGCTTTGGCAGAAGGTGTTCATCGATCCACGGGAAATGGGAGGAACTGGTTTATCCTGCCGAGGTTCCCTTTGGTACGTCTAGCCTCCCCCACGTTCTACTAACCTCCGCGTCGGGAGACGTTCGTCATACGCGGCGAAGGAAGATCAGGCATACCTCGTCAAGACTCCCTCTCTCATAGGATCTCGTCTCCCCTTCTCCCCATCTTTTTTTTTTCTCTTTTTTTTTTTTTTTTTTTTTTTTTTTTTGAGGGAGGAAAATACGTTCATCGGTTCTAAGAATGACCACAAGTGATGTCACACATAATGGTGGTGGGATATCAAAATGAATAGAATGACGAGGCGATGGAAATGCTGGTCGTCATGCGAAGGCGATGGTCACCCTCCTAAAGGGAGGGGTGAGCCGATCGCTAACTCAAGAAGGTCGGCATTGGGAGCCGATATACAATGATCATAATGTTGCTGAGCAGTCGGTCCTGATAATAGAGATGGCAATAGTGTCTAGTCAGGCCGATATATCCGAGCAACGGCTCTCATCCAACGCAGCGCGGGGATGAAACCGGTCTTCAAAAGATAAATATGTCGTGCCGAGAGGCCGAACATAACATGATGGTGTCGGCAGTAAGAGGCCGACCTGAAAGAATCAAGCAATGGCCCTCGTCCGCGAGGGCGGGGACGAGGCCGGTCTTCAAAAGATAAGCACGCTGAGCCGAGAGGCCGGTCGTGGTATAATGATGTCGGCAACGAGAGGCCGATATGAAAGAATCAAGCAATGGCCCTCGTCCGCGAGGGCGGGGGACGAGGCCGGTCTTCAAATATGATAATCACGCCGGTCCGAGAGGCCGGTCGTGATATAATGATGTCAGCGATGAGAGGCCGACCTGAAGGAAATCCAGCAACGGTCTTCGTCCGCGCAGCACGGGGACGAGGCCGGTCTTCAAAAGATGATAATCACCCCATGCCGAGAGGCCGGTCGTGATATAATGATGTCGGCAATGAGAGGCCGATCTGACAGAATCAAGCAACGGCCCTCATCCACGAAGGGCGGGGACGAGGCCGGTCTTCAAATATGGAACGCACGCCGTGCCGAGAGGCCGGTCGTGATATCATAGTGTCGGCAATGGGAGGCCGACCTGATGTAAGGATGGTCTCACGGCCCTCGGCCGTGATGGTCTCCTCTAGGCCCTCGGCCTCTGAATGATGGATGATCGTCTCACGGTTCTTTGTCATGGCATTCGCCTCTAGACCTCGGCCTCTAGGTGTTCTTCCTAGGCCATCGGCCTCTGGGGTGGAGATGCTCGTCCCACTGCTCTCAACCGTGGTGGTCTCCTCTAGGCCCTCGGCCTCTAGGTGGAGATGCTCGTCTCACGGTCCTCAGCCGTGATGGTCTCCTCTTTAGCCGGCCCTGCACGTCTTCAAGACTCGGGCCGAGCGTCTTCTAATCATTTCACTCGAGCGCGTCGAGCGGCTTCAGCTGCGCAATAAGCATGGTGACGGGCCGCACGGCCCGACAATATGTATACACACATAACCATCTGCATGGTTTTCTTTCTAACACCCACGATTACCGGCCTATGGGTCATCGTGACCCTCGGCCCGGCTCATCGTGCGGGGTTAATGTACGTAGCAGCTCGCGGCGGGGCCAATTAGCAGCCCGCCGAACGTCACATAGAGATACTCATCGGTCTGTGAGTTTTCAAACTCAGACCCAAGTTGGTCACTCTGCCCTCGAAAAAACGAGGTTGAATGCCTTGCTGCCCTCGGGCCCCATAGGCCACGTTTGGCAATAGTCACTTCGCGCCTAGCGGCGCGGATTGTTCTGGGGTACGGTCGTCGATCGTCGGGCACGTAGTGCCGTGCGGACTAATGCGCAACCCTCCAATTAAAATGCGTCGTCGGGGCATCGCCCTTTTGGAGACGCTCAGATCGCTTAATCAAGCTGATCGAGAGTGGGCCAACAGGCCCACAAGAAATTAAATATTCAATAAAATGTTGGTTGAACCAACCATCACCAGAGCTTCGCTCCACATTATTTAATTCGGGACATTTTATCCCTAATAAATAATAGGGATATAACAGGCAATAGCAATGATGTTATCCTATCAAAGGCCATTCCGGTACGCTCCGCCCGCTAATTAAGGCCGATCAGGAGCGGGCTAACGGGCCCACAACAACCGATCATTTAATTTTAAATGACGGTGAAACTAATTATCACTTCGAGCTTGGCTCGACATTATTTAATTTCGGGATATTTTAATCCCTAATAAATAATAGTGACGACAAATAATAGCAACGCTAATATTTTAAACTACTTCGTACTCCGTATTAATAATCAAATGTGCCAAGTTAGGAATATGGGAGCACTTAGCTTTGCTGCACTTCATTCGTAGTGGGCAAGTGGTAGCTAGCCAGAGTCAACTCTCCCATCAGCAAGCTGGCAATTTCGTCCTGCAACCAAGACCTCAGTCATAGGCCACTGTGCGTCTGCTCCTACTTGGTCCTCAATGCCTTCGTCTTTAGAGACCTTGTAGTGATTATGGCGCATATTGACGGTGGTCGGCGGAGATGTTTGCTCTTCCGAGCTCGAAACCTCCATTAATGGCGGAAATCATGGAGCTCTCAACTGGTAGATCCCTCAGGTTGCGTCAGCAGGGACGCTGGTGCCCGAGCAGCGGCTGGCCCGGCGGAAGGGTGACCACCTGCTGGCAGCCGACGGCGGGCGACATCGATTTTTTCAGACGGAGGGGCTAGGTTCGAGCTGTGAACCATGCCACGGCGAAGGATATGGCTCTGCTCGCAGCCACCGGCGTTTGGGCGATGGGTCTTCAGATTCCCCGAAGCTGGAATTCCTGGCCCCAGATCTGAATTTCTCCATTGTTTCCCTGAAATCAGTCCTCCCTATAATCATCTTCCCAGAAACATTTTCTTGTTTCCCTTGTTCACGTCCGACCTTCTTCCCCCCTTGCTTGCTAGAATCAGTAGCTTCTTCCTGTTTTCATCTCCAGATTCTTTTTCCTTTTGTTAAAAAACAGTCCACTTCGAATGAATTTTGTGTAGAACACATGAATCTTTTTGGACAGATTCCCACAGACGGCGCCAGTGTTGAGTTTAATCCAACACGATATAGTAAATATATGTATAAATGTGTATGAACAAGCTATTTTTACGTGGAAACCCGAAAGGGAGAAAACCACGGGACTTTTTAGGCTAATGTCCAAGCCCTCTCTTTCTCATTAGGACTCTCCTCACCATTACATAGTACAATTTGAGCTCCCATTAATGGAGTATTGTAAGCTAGCTAGAGAGAAGGGAGAAGAATAAGCTAAGGAAAGATCCCATCCATAATATGGAGGCTAAGCTCCCTATTTATAGACAAAGGGGAAAGGGTGCTCTCCAGCCTAATGGGCCAAACGGGCCAATATCGGGCCTAATGGGCCGGAATGGGCCAACTGCTCGGGCTCCGTACTGGGTAATGTCTTGGGTTCCTGAACAGTAATAGGCCGGGATAATATATCCCAACAATTCCTTTGGACGGATTACAGGTTCATACTAGGCCCACAATTGAAGCTGCTCCATCTAATTTTCTTGGACCCGGGGCCTTATTGGTTATGCTTTAGCTTAGTAGTTAGTAGTTAGTACCAGTCTATTTCCACATAATTGTATGTTTTGTTTTCTCTTTCATTCTCCTTTCTTTAGAGGCCATGCTATCTAGATCGTGTAACTTTTTCCCCCCTCTTCAATAAAATGCACCTTTCTCAACAACAACAAAATATTGTGTTGTAATTTATATTATACGACATCTTCCTTAGAACTTGTTATGATTGTTTGTTGTTATGTGTACATATATTCCACTCTAATTTAAAATATATATAATTCCATTTTTATTAGTACGTAGTAGCATATATTTGCATCAACAAAACTACTAAATATATACAAACATGTTAGTATCTCAATTCTCAAGCATGTGTAAGCTACTTTACTTTCATGTAAAATAATTCTCTTCTAATAACTACATACATTTAAATAACCAAACACTATAAATAAAAATATATTAATGTCCGTGTTATTTCACTCTCATCGAAATAATCATCTTATAATAACTACATTTAAATAACAAAAAGCTATAACACACAAACATATTAATGACCCGTGCATCGCACGGGTACTATACTAGTTTAACTGATAACAGTTCTTATTCTTCTACACTCTACACCTTTAGGTGTTTGCTTTTATAATCCGGGTACTAGCTAATGATAGTTCATTATGTTTTATATGCTTCTTTCTCATAACATTATTTTCGAAGACAATTGTTATATATGTTCTATGTCATTAGTGTTTTTATAATCATTTTTTTAGTCCCTTACACCTTTGAGTCAATAAAGAAGTTGATTTCCAAATTAAATAGCACCTATTAGTGAGCCATATTTCACCAAAATCTTTTTAATCTTATAATATTATTTTTCAGAATATTTTTAAATTTAGTTTCTCGAACTTGTGGAATTCAACGAACACTTGGACTTGCACCATAGCACCGCCTCAATATCCATGTATATTAAGGCGGTAATAACACATACTCTCTTTGCCCCAAAAAGTTTACCAATTTGACTTTTCTTTATCAATGACAATCAATTTTGACTAATGATAATTTTAATATGAAATTACTTTGAATATGAAAATTATATTAAAATGTTCCTTATTTAAAATATTTTCATAAAAGTATAAAATTTATAAATTATATACAAATATAATAATTAAAATCGTTATTCGAGTTTGTTATCATTGACCAAAAAAAAGTTAATATGACAAATCTTTTCGAGTGGGAAGTAGTATATTATAATTCACCTTCAAAAACATACTATAGATTTGAATAACTCTAGCCAGATTTGGCTAGAATTGTTTAATGTCATACGCTCAGTAATGTCACACAAATTAAAGTAGCTATTTATCAGAGAAAAATTTACTTTAGAATTGGGCATATATATCACGCTAGTTAATATAGATAAGAATCATAAGATACGGATAAAGAATATTTGCCTCAAAATAAAAAAAAAAATAAAATGCACAAACCTGAGCTGAGGAAATTATTCGCTCGTAATAAGTTAAATGTGTCTTTTCGATATTTAAATTCTAATGGCCGTAGTATGTACAGCTGTACGGTTATCGTGGATGGGCCAACACGGAATCCGATCGATATATATATCCACGGACCGCTCCCTCTAATCCCTCGCCACTTCATTAATCACGCCGGAGACAATTTATTACTACAGATAAGCTCCCGCCGATCAACGGAAAAAATGTCAGCTTCCGGCAAAATCCGCCACATTGTGAGGCTCCGTGAAATGCTACGGCAGTGGCGGAAGAAGGCCGCCGCCACCACTGCCCGCGGCCGCGTCCCGCCTGATGTGCCGACGGGGCACGTGGCTGTCACCGTCGGTAGCAGCTGCAGGCGATTTGTGGTGCGCGCCACGCACCTGAACCATCCCGTCTTCACGAAGCTTCTAGAGAAGGCGGAGGAAGAGTTCGGATTCACGAATTCCGGCCCGCTATTCATTCCCTGTGATGAGTCGCTGTTCGAAGAAGTTCTCCGGTACCTTTCCCGGCCCCAATCTGATAGCGAATCTGATCGGCGCTTGAATTTAGCGGCGCTTCAGCGGCCGTGCTCCGCCGGCGTTCGGAGCAGCTTGGAAATATGGGATTCGCGGCCCGGCCGCCCCATTTTGCACGGCGTTTAATCAACCAATTTGTTGACGAAGAGTCGGAATTAGCTTCCTGGAGTGTTAGATTGGCTCCTAAACTAATCGATTTCGATTTTAGTGTTTCTTCATTTGTGTTATTTAGTTAAATATTTATTTGATTTTTCACAGTAAATGCCAAATCTCATCCGGAATATGGCCGGAGATGGCTATGAAGTCGTCCCATTTTCGGCTTTTAAAGCTACATCACAACTTCATGAATGGAACCTTTTTTGTCTTCTCCATTTACAAAAAATACTACTCGTATATATTATGATCATAATATTTTGAATATGTTGAAGAATCTACCTCTTCCGTCCCATATTATGAATATGCTTATTCATAATATGTATGAATAATGTAATGATAATATTTGTATGAAATAATATGAAAATATTCTTTGATGAAAATTCTATCTTGAAAGGATAAAATTATTACGTTTTGCATAAATACAACGATCAAAACAATTAATCAAATTCTCCGTTTAGGTTTTGATATGATGGATTGGAAGACAAGCCAAACCAACACGATCCATTTTTTAGAGTTTTAAGTTTATTGACTTTTGGCGTCTTGGCTCAAACGCCAAGAGGCAAACATTGTCATTCTCTGATTGAAAAAAGTTAAAGTTTACTTTTTAAAAAGAAACGAAAGTAGAATTAATTAGAACATCTTAAGTGGTTAGCTAATTTCTCTTATGGATTGAGAACTATCATAACGAACAATATGATCTATACTAACGCTGCTTGATTCAAACCTCATAAGAAAATTATACACATTTTTCAATTCGCAACACATACTACTAGTCCAATCCTATAGTGATTAAAACAATGTTATACGGAGTATTACTTACTTGTTTACCTTTATATATTTATAGTATCTTATGTGATATTTTAAAAATGATCACAAGATATTTTACTTGGAGGTATTTTAAATTTAGATGACTGCATCACATAATATTGGATCATATCACTCAGACCACTTCTACAGACAAACTATATGAGCTAGACGAGACTTAATTAAATATCGATGAAATACATTATACACATAATACTAAATTCTATTTGACCTTACTGGAATAATGTATAGTTAGGAAATCTTTCCGGTAAGGTATACCTTACCGGAGCCCCCGTGCGGCCTCCATGTCTTGAGGGCCTTCCCGGTGGAATTTTTCGATGAAATTTTTTGAGCATGTTCGTCATCAAGTCTAGTACATCCATACCAAATTTCAGCAAAAAATTCAATCGGGAAGGCAGTCAAACGATTTTTGGAAGATAACTGCATTTTATATGTATATAAAGGGTGCAGTTATCTTCCAAAAATCATTTGACTGCCTTCCCGATTGAATTTTCTGCTGAAATTTGGTATGGATGTACTAGACTTGATGCATAACATGCTCAAAAAAATTCATCGAAAAATTCCACCGGGAAGACCCTCAAAACGTGGAGGCCGCACTGCGGCTCCGGTAAGGTATACCTTACCGGAAGAGTTCCCAATTATATAGTCAAACCACATATGCTTAAACAAAATAGAGAGTTATGTGCATATTTGGTAGACATCAGTCCCTACCTTTTAATTTTTGTATTATGCAAAGAGTCTTTAAAAGTTTGTAACTCTATGTTTGACACCACAATTTTTAAGAACTATTTTAAAAAAATTAAATGTACACTGAATTGCATCTCCACATTAATTAATCATAACAATTTCTATACCAAGCTAATAAAACCAAAGAGTTAGCTTTTCATCAAGCAACAATGTAGGGTCCAACAATGTATCATCTTTTTATTTTAGATCTTTTTAGTCACTACAAACAAAATCTACTAAAAACTCACAAAAATATTTTGAGCAGGTTGTGCCAAACAGAACACTAGACTTTTCAAAAACAAAAAAGTGGAAATGTGGAGATCCATAATTTGTTTACGGATTAGAAGTCAATGCGAAATTTAGTGAAGATATTAAGGACTGTGTCGCGTTGTTAGCAATGAGTCCGTACTATAATTTGGAGGACTTTCAAATCCGTGTCTCGCGTGCCGGGGGAATTAATGGAGCGCTGAAACTTTTTTGCATCCATTATTATTGCTAATTTGTAATTGAAAAGATGGACCCATAATATAACTTAGCTGGCGCAGATTAAATGTCTTCTCGCCTTTTATTCCGTATAAATAAAGATTTTGCATATAGGAGCGTATTTAATACGAAGTATTTTTATAAAATGATTTTCACCTTTTGTTTTAAAATGTTAAAAACAGAAAGCCTTCTCTTAAAACTTGCTATTCGCTATTCCTTTTAAACTATTTTTCTTTATTTCCAACACTTCATAACATTGTTCTATTGTTCTTTTTCATGTTGTGGTATTGAAAATGCTCTTAATAGCCTCGTATGACTAAGTTGTATTAATAACGGTTAGATTAATGTATTGATGTTGATATATGCAAAAAGTGGACCATTACTCCTTAGATTATATTTTAGCGGCTTATATGAGTTCGGTGAGAATTATTGTTTCCAGGGGAGGATCTATGTTAGGGCTATGGTGGGCTGAAGCCCAGGGCAAAGTAAAAAAAATTAATTTTTTTAAGGTATTATTTTCACAAAATTCTATCCAGCCCAGCCCAAATTTTTCTATAGCCCAATCCAATTTTTCAGCCCAACCCATAAAACAAAATCATTCCATCTAAAAATCTAATCTAAATGTTATACGAATTACCTCCCACTTAACAAGAGGCACTTTTGTACATCGTACGTATAAGGGTCGTAAAGCCCAAAAGGAATAAATGTAATAAATACAATAAAATATGATTCAAATATGATGCACATCAACTTGTAAAGTGTTTGAGTATATTCAAGAACATTGCCCAAAAGTGAGTTCTTGGGCAGAAGTTCATAGTGTATATAGACACTTTCCATGTTTTGAATTTGTGTTCAATTCACTTTTGATGTAACGAGTATTCTTTGTCAAGACCTTCAAACAATTATTGGATATCTTGATAGCAATGAGACATGTTTCTACTACACAACTCATTCTCGTGGAAGTGACATAAAATGGATGTGAAGGCTTTCTTGAAGAAGCAAAGGA